AGAGCGGTGGTGCAGGACAAGGTAACATAGTGACCCAGGTGCGGAAAGGGAATCCAGCTTAGCCGATATGTAGGATTATGGATGTGTCTCAGTGTAATTATGTTTAAACAATGGACTTTGCTCTTACTTGTCTCAGTTACAAGTGCAGTACAGCAGTATGTGGGATTGGTGTACAAAGAAAAGGCAAACAGGGCACTCTATAGATTTTGTAGAGGGATACTGTTGTGCGTGCACCGCTGGGCCCTGCTTTGACAACATCTGTATTCTGACAGAGTCTCCTCTCTCAATCTAGATCTAACTGCCTGCAGCCTCTGCCACACAGGAGCTGGAGGGGGGAGCTGAGAAGAATACTTACAAGCCTCTACCACTGTGTTGGAAATAGGCAAACACACACACGGACATACACACACACAAACTTTCACAGTATATCCCTGCCAAGTCAAGCATTGTGGTGTGGCAGGAGGAGCCTCGGGAGTCTAACAGCCAAATGTGTCCTCTAGCATTAATGGCTGCTTCGGCTGACTGAAGGGGGAAAACACCTTGAAGAATCATACATCTGAACAGCCACTTGGCTCCAGCAAGGGACAAACTGATTGACATTTGCTGAAGTCTTGCAAAACACGCCCGCCCTCTAATACAGAGCACACATGCTCGGAGTGACGGTATAGTCTTAGCTCTTCTCTGAATTATACAGCAATAACAACACAGGAGAGAACAAAAAAATGTGGAGCTGAAACTAGACTTAAAAATAAATGTATCATTCTCTTGAGATACAACCAGTATTTTTCCTTCTTTCACGTTCTAACTCAGATGACGCTTAGAAAACATTCATTCCAAGGTATTGAAATTGTCTGAGTATAAATCATGGTGAGCATGCCTGGCCCTCAGCCAAAGATCACCACGGGTGTTACAAACTCCTCAAGCAAAGAATATGACCTGTAGAAATGGAAAATTATTTCCAGGGATCTGCTACTTCACTGGATCCCCAGCAAAGATAAGGGGATAAACTGAGAGCAGCTGTTGGTGTCAACGAAGCGCTGCTTTGATCTATCGTGTATCAGAGACAAACAAAAATGGAAGCTGTTTTCTAAGACTGCAACTCCCCTCGTGGTTGCATGCCTCCATCAGTGGGTCACACTGCAGTTTAAATCAGTGTTTCCATTTTGCTCAGTGATGGGAGTGATTCCTCATTTGAGGTTATGTTTTGCTGTGTATGTACTGTAATGGTGTGTAGTTTCAGAGAGGAAAAACAAGTTAAATTCTTCATCTTCTCGGTTTGGCCAATTATTTTGATTTGGAAAGACAACGTGTTGATAGATGCTAATGTTTCAAATATGGATCTTGCTGAAAAGAAGCAGGAAGTTATAATTCTTCAATGCTTCACAAACATCTTCAACCCAGTAGCACAGTTACACAATTTTTTTTAATTGAATGTTACACAGAGGGGATCTTTGACCTGCTGATGCTGCAAGTGAGCAGTAGTGCCAAATTCAAAATAAAATTCTCAAGGTGTTTCAAAAATATGTTGACAAAAAAGAAAAAGAAAAAAGACAGGACACTACCTCAACTTAATGCCTGCTACGGGCACCGGTAACCTCTTCAAACTGCTCAGAAACAGTTTATGTAAGAAAGCCTGAAAATATCTGTCCACAAACTACAGAGTATGACCCACAGCTGGGCTATGATACAAAGCATGACAGAAAACTAGTAACTAAAGGATGTTAAGCTCAGTGTCGTCTTATTGTACTATTGGTTTAAAAAAATCACTTATAGATGTATATACTGGAATACAGATTCTGAATCCAAAAATTCCAGTCTGCCTTCAGATATTAAAGTGCTCAAATTATGCCTTGTGAGGTTTTATTTGTCTGTTATACTTTCTTTATTCATGTAAAGAATTCCATGCTGTTCTCTCCCAGGAAACACGGTACTTCTCTTCATCATTAAGTAACACAATGGCATAATGGCTACTTACCTAGTTCCTTTGGTACACTCTCAAACAAGTGCTTCAACTAAATCCACATGCAGCCAGATGCCATGCAGTCCACTATCAATTCCTCGCTAGAGTACCTTCTGCTAATTCTTACTCGAAAATATCTCAGCTATGAACAAAGCACACCAAATGTTCTGCTGCTGGTTACAACGGTGAACACAAGAGCCTTCATGCTCTCACAGCTTCTGAGCTGTTTTACTTCTGATGGCAATGTTGCAGCAATAATAAGGCAATCACCATGTGTTTAATGGTAGAATGGCACAAAGCTATGTACTAGCCACTCTAATAGAGATGAATTTCCATTGAAAATATTCCCAGTTTTCTGTTTCTGTTGTCAGACAGTAAACAGAGCATAAAATAAAGACATACAATGTAACACATTAAGACTACTGTAAACCTGCCGCTTGGCATATTTTTCAACCTCTGCTCTGTGCTGACAAAACAATCATTTACATAATGTGCCGTGATTTACACTTAAAACGACTTGTTTTCTGTTAGCAGAAACTAACCTGAGTTAAGGTGGTGAAGCACTTCACCAAAGCTGCCTGACCATAGACAGCACAAAAGATAAGCTGTTTCAAGCCGTTTTGGTATTTTCAAACTGACTTGCTAAAGCACATTTCAGTATCCAGGGATCACATCTCGAAAAATCTTCCTTTTTGACACCAAAATGTAATAAATAGACTTAATGCTTTATAATTATACAGTATAACCTGAAATGACTTTGACTAGAAACCCATTAGCAAAATGTCAACAGCTCCTGCAGAGGACAGCTCTCGCCTCCTGGTGGCCGTTACAGAAAATGCAGGTTTAAGGGCAGTTATGCATTAGCTTCATTTGTTCAGATCTGGAAACTAGCTCCATCTTTTATACTGTCTATGTGTCTGACTTTCTTCATGCCCACTGACCAATCAGAGGAGGATGGACTTTTTGGGAGGTGACCAATAAATGAGCTAAAACAGAATGATTCAAACAGATGTGATGATGATGAGTGATGATGTTTTGCATCGTCAAACTAATTTAGATACTAGACAAAGACAATGTGGCTAAATACAAAATGCAGTTTAAAGATTAGTTCATTAATTTACAGGAAAAAAAATTTAGCCTTAGCCCGTTGTAAAAAAAAAGCTGTTGGCCACTGAACCTAACAACTGGCTGTGTCAACCCTTGGAAGCAAGAGCTACAATCAAGCATTTGCGATAACTGGCAATGAGTCTTTCCCATCACTGTGGAGGAATTATGGCCCACTCTTCTTTGCAGAATTGTTTTAATTCAACCACACTGGAGGGCTTTCCTGCATGAATGGCCTGTTTAACGTCATACAGAAACATCTCAATTGGATTAAGCAGCCCCAGACCATCAGACTATGATGTTCTTTTTATAAAATGCTGCGTTAGTTTTACACCAGATGCAACAAAACTCAAAGCTTCCAAAAAGTTTAGCTTTTGTCTCATCAGTCCACAGAATCATTCCCCATATGTTTTTAGATCAAAGATGTTTTTGGTAAATGTGAGATGAGCATTTGCGTTATTTTAAGTCAGCAGTGGTTTTCTCTTTAAACTCTCCCATGGATGCCATTTTTGCCCAGTCTTTTTCTCACTGTTGAATCATGAACGTTGACCTTAACTGAGACAAGTGAAGCTTGCAGTTCTTTAGATGTTGTTCTGGGTTCTTTTGTGACCTCCTGGATGAGTCATCGATGCGCTCTTGGAGTAATTTTGGTAGGCCGGCCACTCCTCGGAAGGTTCACCACTGTTTTAACTTTTCTCCATTTTTGGATAATGACTCTCACTGTGGTTCGCTGGAGTCCCAAAGTCTCCGAAATTGCTTTGTAACCATTTTCAGACTGATAGATGTCAGTGAATTTATTTCTCAGCTGTTTCTTTAGATCATAGCATGATATGTTTCTTTTTCAGGCCTGGGTGTGGTTAATGACATGGAACTTAGCTAAGCAAAAACATGGTTAATCACAGTTAATTCATGATTTATCAAAGAGGGACAATTACTTGCTTGCATAGAGGCAGAGTGGTTTCTCCTTTATAAATGAAATCATCATTTAAAATCTGCATTTTGCATTTACTCCAGTTATCTTTGTCTAATATCAAAATTAGTTTGATGATGTGAAATGTGTGATAAATATGCATAAAAATAAGAACTAAGGTAGGGCTGTTCTGACAAAACCAAATGCACAAATTTTAACAGCTGGACTTTGTTTCAATAATAGTTATGAGTCAGTTATTTATTAATACAAATGTCATCTCCAGTTGAAAACTAATTTAACTATTGTAACTATTTTAAAATGTTAAATATTTTGAAATCATCTACAAAGCCTAAATGGATTTAAGTTAGACTGGAGAATAAACAAAGTATACAGTATATTATCCCAAAGCTGTTTCATGCTAAGCATATTTGGCTTCTTGAATTCGACACATCAGCATTGGATGAATCAGAATGAAGAGGTAGGCCTTATCGTTCAATAGCACAGCAAGATCGAAAAGTAAACACAGATTGTCTTGCAATCAGGACCTGAAAGACAAGACGCTCCAGCTTTAGCTGTTAGCCTGTGTCTGCAGGTTCCCTGATATCAACAAAGAGCCCGCTGCAGCTCTGAACTGTCTCTGTTGTTGTGGGCGATTGGAATGGACATTTGTACTCTGCTGAAGGACCGTAAACAAGATTTTCAGCATAGCACCGGCCTGGCCAGGTTGACAGGGTGGTCTTATCTGATCTCAAACCAGAGAAAGGCAATAGGACAGACCAGGACAGACCAGGACAGCTCAGTTTGAGACGCTGATAAGAAGATGCTAAGAGGAAATGGAAAGGAGAAACAGACAGCTTCCAAGATGAACATTTTCACAATTTAACACCTTATAACACATTTACACATCTTTTTGATATTTGCTACGTTTTTGTCTGCTTCAGGTTTATTTGGCTGAGTGAGACCCTTCGTTCAAATAAAATAAAATAAAAACCAATCAAATCAATATGTAGTGTAAAAGCAACTTACCTTGTCCTTGCCCTGCTTCTCATCTTGATATACATTCCACTGCTCTCCATCATTACTGAAAGCGACTTTATATGAGCCAACAAACTGGACATGGCCGAAGTCTTTCGCTCCCTGGGTGATGATACCTGTCACCTTGGTTGGCACAAGCAAGTCCACCTGAGAGGAGCAAAGCCCAAGGAGGGATGGGAGCAGAGAGAAGGAGAGGCAAAACCAGAATGATAAATTCGATTGCTCAACAAACTCAGGTAGCAAAGTGTCAGATATGCTAAGTTTTCAGGATTAAGTCAGCATTTTTCCTTTCGATTTTATCTGAGGATTTACTGAATAAAGACACCGGGCGCCAGTCAAGTCAGTTTCAATTATTCACAGAATATTGAACAACAAGGCTAAGTCCACAATCTCGCCTCAGCAAAACAGAAATTGCATGCTGCAGCAGCTTCTGAGACCCACACTGCTCCATTTGGGTTAATTTTTAATAGGTTCTCATTTGTTGCAAACAATTTACTGCACAAGGGTTCCAGGCAGTAAATACACAAACTGTTACATTTATAGGCTTTTTAATGTTCAATTATGCTTTATTATATTCAAAAGTACATAACACTGTTGGTCTGAAACAAAAAATGAAGTTAAGAAGAATTTCAGGATACAGGCTACACTTTGAACCAAGGAGATGATAATCAAGCTTTTTGGGGCGAGATTTTACCACCATGATAATTATGTTAAATAAATATTGCATTCATTAAGTGAAAGGGATTGAAAGTAATTTTTAATCTAGTCCTCAGCAAAGCCATGCATAACTTTATTAGGTTTAAGTGCAGTATTACTAAATAAATAGTTTGTTTTTTCTCAGGAATCAGTGGGTGTGTAATGTGAGACCCCTTTAACACAATGAAAACCTGAAAACTCTGTAGAACAACAGAAAAAAGTTTATTGTTCTTGTTATTTAACATGCAATTCACACATTTTTTTTTTTATAAAAAGGAAATTTTGTTTTTCCATCTTCCATTTTTAAACGAGGACATTTTATATTAGATAAACAGCAAACTAACATAATAACAACACTGTGTAGGTGATATCAAAGAAGCTGCTTTAGGCTGGTACCCCCTTTACACAAAATAGCTCAAATTTAACAGTAAAGCTGTTCTACTTAGCACATACATCAACGTGGCACCAATTTGCTATGAATAGAGGATGAAATACCGGGTTCAACTTGACATTTTGCTGTGCCATAGATAGCTGCAAAATTTAGAGGCGCAGCGAGCGCATGAGAGAAATGTAAGTATGCAGAGTTGTTTCTTTTGCTGAATATGCTGTACACAACACCAAGACAACCATGCATCACACTAATTGGCCTGGTCACAGGCCAACTTATACTGTGTCACACTGTTCTGATAAAAAAAAAAAAAAGCCCCCCACATAGATTAAACAAATAAGCAAACAAACTAGCGCATGAGGTATGGTTTAGTTTCACTCCGTCTCCTGGTTTTGACACGTTGCAGAACCCTGCAGTGCAGCTTGGCACATCACAAAACACTTTCCAGTTGACTGCATTATCTGTTGTGACGAGTTAGAAAAAAAAAACCCCTCTCTCTCTCTCTCACACACACACACATGCAAACATACACAAATGCAGGACACCGGAGGCTGACAGGTAGTTTGCAAAACCTAAGCCTTAATGACAAGCCAAAGGAATAAATAAAATTCCGGAAGGTTGTTCAACAAAGTTCAAAGAAAACAAGTAAACCGAAAGCTAAATTTGCAAGGAACACAATAAAAAACCACTAGTATCAAAATAGAGGAATGCAGTTTAGGATTACACACAAAGGCTGACACAACCAACAAGGGACTGGACTGTAAATGCACAGAAAACTATCAGGTAAGCAAGATGCAAATGAAGGGAAAAAAAACCCCCAAACAACAGACAAAA